TTGCTCCTTTTCTGTTAAATAATAACTAGGTTATTACAATGGTATCAGTAAGTCAGTTTAAGATAATAAAGAGAACAAAATTTGGGATATGAGAAAGGGATAAAGAGCACAAGTCAGGAAAACAATCTAGTGTTCATTAGAAAAGAGAATTTGAGAGACTAAGAGAAGGATCCCTGCCATTAACTCTCCATATTTTTAAAGAAAAAAATAATGTTACTATAAAATCTGCATTGAACTATTTCATGCGTAGTAGAGCTGGGCCCTTCAGCCCTGACAGCAGCAGCAAGCAGGTCCCCTGCCTTCTTGAGAAGACCTGGAGGTGAGAACCTTCTGAGACCCTTACTGGGGACACTTATTTTGGCTTAGCTTCTCAGATCTGATTTCCCTGATGATGCTTTCAACTATCCAATCACCCTGACCCCATTTCTTCTGTTATTTCAGAGATAATCTTTCCTTTTTTTATGTCAAAGCAAATAGAAGTACCAGTCTTCCAGCAGCCATTAAATGTGAATGCTTCAAATTGAGGAGAGGAAGAATAGGAGAGAGACAGACAAAGAGCCACCCTTACACTGTGCTCCCGTCTTTCCCCACCATGCCCAGGATTCTGTCCTGTGTTAAGATCCTTTTTAAATGTCACTTCCCTGTACTTTATGCTCTTCATGTAAATATTCTGTGACTCCTTTAAGTAAGGGAAGACAGTATTTTATTCACACACTTTCATGGACAGGCATGATTATAGTTACTGCTCACATTTATTGGGCATTTACCAGGTGGTAACATCTGATATCTCCAATTTCATTTCTTTTTTTCTGTACCTCTATGAGGGGTTCGCTATCATTCTGAACCTTGTAAAGATAATAGAACAAAGGCACTTAGAGGTTAAATAACACAGTAGATGAAAGAACTGTGACTTGAATTTAGGCATTCTTAGCTACCCCCAGATGAAAGAACAGGATGAGATAAAGAAGGGAAAAGATTTAAAAAAAAAAAAAAAAGAGGTGGAAAGGGCACATTAACATAAGCCAAGTTCATTGGAGTGATTCTTAATGGTGTGGGAAATCTGAAATCTGTCTATAAAAACTCAGCAATGAGTGTATTGATTTACACACTTAAACAACAGACTCTAATACCTTCACAAACAGTTCTGTTAAACCATAGGATTTTTAATTTTCTTTTTAATCCTCACCAGAGAATATTTTTTCCATTTATTTTTTTAGAGAGAGTGAAAGGGGGGGAAGTGGGGGCAGAGTGCGAGAGAGAGGGAGAGAAACATTATGTGAGAGAAACACATGGATTAGTTGCCTCTTGCACACACCCAGACCAGACACAGGAACTGAACCTGCAACCAAGGTATGCCTTTAACTGGGAATTAAATCCACAAACCTGCAGCTGCAGGCAGATGCTCTAACCACTGAGCAACCATCCAGGGCAGGAATTTTTAACTCAGATTCTTAATTTGTCCAAAGATTAAAACAATGTCTGCTCCCCTCCCAATCATGTGATATTTTACATAAACATGATATGAAACAAATTGAAAACAGATATATGTTTGACTTTATGAAAGCTCTGAACACATTGTCTTTGTTAGTTATTAGTTGTTTATCAAATGAATGTCTTATGGTTTTCATAGCAAGTTTGAGAGCAACCGACAAATCTGTAGTAAGGAGGTGACAGTAAAACTTTCCTACCACAGAGGGCAATTGTCAATATCCTGTTGCCTGGAGCCCAGTATTGATAATGGCAGTGATGGAAACCCATTTGAGCTAGTAAATGTGTCAGGTCAATCTGATTGAAGACTCCAGCAAAATGATAGCAAAGTTACCACTGACTCTGTATTGAACACTCCATGAGCATTCACCTGGAGAGGGGGTGGGGCTCAGTACAAATATCCACAATGGAAGGAAGTGCTGGGACAACAATACTTTATCAATGTTAACTGTTTTATCAAGTCCTTCAGACTTAGCTGACATCACTCTAAACTTCCTAACTGCAAAAGACTAATGCTATAAATTTTTTCATTGAATAATTTCTGTTATAACATTAATAATGATAATGATTAAAACATTATTTGACCATTAAAATAGGATAAATTGGAAAATAATATCCTATATAATAAGAGGTGGTATGCAAATTGACCCTCACACCCTCACAAGATGGTTGCCTACACCCAGGCCAGCAGGTGGGTTAGTGAGGGACTACCAAACGGCTGAACAAACAGGCTGTGTGGGACAACCAGGCCAGCAGGGGTGGGGGAGGAATTTGGGGGCAACCAGGCTGGCCTGAGGAAGTAATTAGGGGTGACCAGGTCAGCAGAGGGAGGCAGTTGGAGGCCACCAAGCTGGCGGGGGAAGAGGAGGGCAGTAAAAGGTGACCAGGCCAATGGGGTGGGATACAGTTAGGTGCAACTAGGCCAGTGAGGGGGGTGCAGTTGGGGGCAACCAGGCCAGAAGGGGGGTTAGTGAGGGATGACCAAATGATTAAACAGCAGACTATGTGGGGCAACCATACTGGTGGGGCAGGGAGGCAGTTGGGGGTGACCAGACCAGTGTTGGGACAGTTAGGGGCGACCTGGCCAGCACACAGAGACGGTGAAGGGGTAGTTAGGAGTGACCAGGCAGGCAGGCAGATGAGTGATTAGGAGCCAGTGGTCTAGGATTGTGAGAGTGATGTCCGACTGTCAGTTTAAGCCTGGTTCCTAAATTGGCAGTCAGACATCCCCTGAGGGGTCCCGGATTGGAGAGGGTGCAGGCTGGGCTGAGTGGACACCCTTTTCCCCCCATGCACAAATTTCATACACTGGGCCTCTAGTTGTAAATAAAAGAAAATATGAACATTTGTAACATAGTATAGTTCTTAATGTGTACTTATAATATTAGTATTTATATTAATAGTAATAATAATTAAACATTGAGTAATTACTGTGTGCCAGGCTTTGTTTTAAGCACTTTACACTTATTTATCCTTGCTTTTATAGATGTAAATACCATCATTATTTTACTTCATGAAAGAAAAATGAGAAACAGAAAGATTGTATAATATCCTAGAAGTAAGTTATTCTTAAATAAATAATTCCTTTAAAAGAGTGCTGGACTAGGAGGTAAAACATATTCTAAATATAATTCTACCTTTACATATTGTATTAACATTTGAGTTTTTATGCTTTGCTCTGCAAACTGGTGAGATACAAAACAAAGCAAATATAAATATATGAAGATCCATGATTCTAAATAAATGTTATTCATTCCAAAATAGCAATTTTGAGCAATCTACTTTTAGATTCCTGTGATGCAGCTATTGTCTAACATATAACTACTATAAATTGTTTTCATGATAGTGGCATGATAAAAGGAATCTCCTCCATGGCATCAAATCTTAATCCTTTAAGGAAGAGGTCAGCAAATTAAGGGCCAGATAGGAGCTATGTTTGACTTTGCAGGCCATAGAGTTTTTGTGGGGACTATTTTATTTACCTCTGCCACTATGACACAAAAAACAGTCACAAAGAAGATATAAATGAATGGACATGTCTGCGTCACAATTAAATTTATAAAAGCAGGCAAAGAATTTGACTGTTTAGGTTAAGGGCATAGTTTCTTCTTTAAATGTGAATTTAAAGGTTGTCACTACTGTTTTGGGGAAAAGCAATCAAACTATTTCTAGACAGGTAAAGGCCCATGTGAAAAAAAGGGAAAGAATATGAAGAAATAAATGGTTATAAGATATTACTATTGATTTCCTGTGGCTCCAAAAGAGTCTTTCGGGAAAACACTAATAGAAGATTAGCTAAAGATCTATTACATAAGTGCATGGTCTCTTGAGGTGATCAGTTTGCAGATGAAAATGCTTGTTTGTTTTTTGTGTTTTTTGTTTGTTTGTTTGTTTGTTTGTTTTTGCTATTTATTGGCCTGTAGTATGTATAACCTAAAAGTGAAGAATCTTGACTTCAAAATTTAAAGTGTAAGAATGCCTCTTCCTTGTTGTGTGGTATACATTAATTGCAAACTTTTCACAACTTAACATTTTTGCTATTTATCATAAAGAAAATTTAAAAGTGATTAATTATACTAGTTGTGATTTTTAGAACATAAAAATAAAATAATGAAATTTAGATGTAATATTTTAATGTTTCTAGTGATATTTGTATTTTCCATGATGGGAGCATTAGCTAAAATGCCATTTCTATATGGAGGCATCTTGTCTTCTATCCCACCAAAAATGGTATTTCTTCTAGTTTCAGCTGCTGAAATGTAAATGCTTCTTGATGATGGTTTACAGTAGTACCCTCTTATCTGCAAGGGAGACTAAGACCCCCAGTCAATGTCAGAAGCTCTGGATAGCACTACATATACACTATCTATCATGTTTTTCCTTATACACACATATCTATGATAAATTTTCATGAATAAATTAGACACAGTAAGATATTAACAATAATAATAAAATAAAACTATTATAACACTATACTCCAATAAAAGTTATATGGATGGCTTTGGGGACATCATTAAGTGAAATAAGAGTTATTTGAGCAGAAGCACTGCAAGACCTTGACAGCATGATAACCAAAATGACTACTTGGTGGCTAATGGGCAGGTAGCATGTACTATAAGAATACGTTGGAAAAGGGAGGTTTTGCATCCTGGGTGGGACTGAGCAAGCTGGCTCAAGATTTCATCACTTTGCTCTGAACAGCATGCAATTTAAAATGTATGAATAATTTGTCTCTGAAATTCTTCATTTAATAGGTTTGGACCATGGTTGACCTCGGCAAACTGAAACTGCAGAAAACAAAACCATCAAAAAAGGGCAGCTACTGTCATTAGTTCCTGAGAGCACATTTTCTCGCTATAGTGACTCAGATGATTGCAAATTTTCCCCCAAGTGTACAAATAATTTTCTGTTGCTCCAGTGATTCAAGAAATGTCAGATTTTACTAGGCACTTCATGTAGATCTGCTTTATGCCGAGTAGAAAACTTACAAATCCCCATTTTTCTCTTTCCAGAGACAGAAGCAGCTGTGAATCCAGCTGTTGGAATGCACCTTCCAGCTCAAAAACCTGAACTGTATCATATTTCAGGTTTCAACACTTTAGGAACTCCTCCTCCATATGAAGAAATCCTGAAATCAAGCCAACTTTAGATATGGATCATCAATTGAAAATATTAGAAATATTTTAAGACCAAAATTGGGGACAATTTTTCTCATGTAGTGGGAATTCATAGACATTGATTAATATAGCCTTGGAAAAGACAAATAGACAAAACAATGAATGTAGGGGGAAATTTTTGATCAAGAACATATCTTAGTAGTATATATGGACTCAGTGGATAACAGCTGTGTTACATTTTTTTTTTTACTATAATCTAAGTTAATGTTTCTCCATCAATACTCATAGACAGTAATTAATACGCAGTGATCTCAATTAAGTTTAGGATTTCACTCTAGCACACAACTTTCTCTGCCTAAATATTTGTTTTAATATGATCTTTCTCCCAGTGTGGAGTCAATAAAAATTGTCATAATTTTAACAATAACTCAAACAGAGATTCAGACACATCAAGAGCCAGAATCAGAAAGGGAAAAACAAAAAGTTGGAATAAATTCTCAAAAAACAGTTAGACTATGGATAATGCAAATAATTAGTGTTGAATTGTAAAATGGGTGTTATTCATATTGACAGACTAGGCAGAGAGGGAAAGAGTGTGTGAAGGAAGGTGGCCGAAAATAATGAGAAAGCTAAATCCTGATTTCCTATTGTGGGAAGTCAATGAATAATACCTAAAATTAAAACAAAAATCATGAAATAATGAAAAGTACATCATTTGGAAATTAGATCACAAATATCTGAAGCAAAACACTCAAAAGTTGAGAATAACTCCCTTAAGAAATCAGCTTTAGAGATAATGTTATGTGGGATTAGGTGGAGCAGAATAATGCTGTGTGTGTGTGTGCGCGTGTGTGTGTGCGCGTGTGTGTGTTTATAATAAGCCTTTAGTACTATTTAACTTCTAAAATTAAATGCATGCATTACTTTAATTAAAAAGAAATATAAAATTAAACAAATAAATTTTGACTAAGTGATAGCTTACAATTGAAGACAAACAGGAAACCATGCTATCGATATATGGAAGAATAAAATGTTAACAGTAAATGTGTTTAAGTAGGGGACTGCAGGTGACTTAATATTTTATTCATTTTTGCGAATTTTTGTTCATATCCTGTAAGTTATGTATGTTAAAATCCGTTCCAGTTACGGAACCGTTTGGGGTTATAATTAACACCTAGAAAAGTGTAAGCATATCTGGAAATGGAACTAATGATTCAGCAGCTGGAATTGTCAGAAGTTAGTTCATGTCTGAGTTGAAGTGATTGGAACTGATTTTTAAGACAGCTGCATTTATGTGTCAGAACAAGTCTAAGAAAACTACATGTGTGGCCTCTAGTGGCTTGGTTTATTTATCCAGATGAGGAAGGAAGTGTGGGGACAGGGTTTAAGCAGGTGGATAGGGCTGGTAACAAAAACACTTTGTTTTCATAGAAATGTTTCTAACAAAGATCTCTTATTAAGTACCACAGGTACTATCTAAGAAATACTGAATAACTATTATATGTTAATTATTGTACAAGTTCTGAATTTATTTCCCCAACATGTTTAGTATTTTTTAAAAATATTTTTTATTGATTTCAGAGAGGAAGGGTGAGTGAGTGAGAGAAAATAAATAATGAGAGAAAATCATCTATTAGCTACCTTCTGCATGCCCCACACTGTAGATAGAGCCCACAATCCGGGTAAGTGCCCTGTCTGGGAATTGAATGGCATCATAGATTAAGGCTCAACCACTGAGCTGTGCCGGCTGGGCTTATTTTTAATAATACTACAGTTTCCATCACTTGGCTTTGACCTCCAGACAGAGACTTGCAAATTCTGTAGCAGGTGCTTTTTATGGTCACTGAAAACTACTGCAAACAATCCTATCTAATAAAGAAGGAATATACAAATTGACCATAACTCCACAACAAAGATGGTGGTGTCAACAGCCAGTAAGGAGGGAATATGCAAAGTGAGGCTCACTCTGCAACAAAGATGGTGGCGGCTGGGTGGGGATGCTTATATCATTGCCACGGCAACAACACAGGCATTCTGCTTCCCCCTGCCTGCAGAGTGGCCAGTGGGTGGGGTGGGATGTGCTGCCCACTGCCCAGAGCACACTGCTCAAGGTGACAAAGGCTGGCATCCCACTCCGGGCCAGTGGGCAGTATGCGCAGGCACAGAGAAGCCAGTAGGTGGGATGGGACATATGCCTTCATTGCCTTGGGCAGCGTGCTTCAGGCAGGTGGGCAGCATGAGCAGGTTCAGAGTGGCTGATGGGCAGTGCACTTTGGGTTGGTGGGCAGCACATGCAGAGAGCCTCTGGGTAAAGGAGGTGGACTAGGGGAAGGCGGCCTGTACTCCCCACATGGCACTGGTGGCAGCCGTGAGCGCACCAAGCAGAGCCTGTGGGCCAAGCTGATGTAGCATCTGCAGGCCATTAGCACTGAAGAGTGGCTGCACAAGTCCCACCTTCTGGCCCAGAAGGTGTGCGATAGCAGGGACAGATACCGTGGTGGGCCAGATTGACGTCCTTGTGGCCACACCATTGAAATTTGCAGATCTCCGCAGCTGCAGGCCTCCAATGTGTGTATCCTCTCTCTCCCACTTCCCACACCCGCGCTGTGCAAACATCCCCCAGCGCGCTGTCATCCACACGTGCCTGCAACAGTCCCGGACCATGGTGTGCACAAGTTGCCCCCGGCCCCTCCACCACACTTCCATCAACCTTAGCATGCCTACATCACCCATAGGATGTGAGCACATCCCCTCCAGCATGCTTATGTCCTTTGGACAGTGTCTAGGTTTGTGGGTGCTTGGAGTGGTTGCCTGTGAGATGACAGTGAGAGAGCGGAGTGGTAATGCTGTTTTCCCACGGAGGACAGTCTAGCGAAGTGATCACCTCCATGGTGCGAACAGACACACCTAGTGGGTGGGGAGGGGGTGTGGGGGGGGGGGAGAGAAGGGTTCGCTAAGGTGCTTCCCGACAGCGTTCAAGATCAGGAACCCAGAGGAGGTGAAGAGTTCCATCCTCTCAGTGAAACAGTGGGATAGTCGGAGTGACTGCAGAGGAGGAATGTGCACTTTGGGTGCCGTGACTGAGCCTCGCTTGCTTGGTCCCTAGAGCACTCCTGCCAGGCAGCGGGTGACAGGACGTGCTTTTCCGAGTTAATGAGAGAAAACGTTGAATTCTCCCGCTGCCCACGAAGGTGGGAAGTGGAGTGGGGAGACATGTGGGGAGTGAGCGAGGTCCCGTCTGAGGGTTCCAAATCCGCCATTGGTTCCTTTCACCGCTGACTAGAGATATATAGGGTGTCCCTCAAAATGTATACACACTTTGAACACCTACTAATGTCAATGGGTTTAAGCATGAAAAGAAACAACAACGGAGCTGTCATCTGTTAAAAGTGCACGCACAAACCGGCAGTTGGACATTCCCTTAGGGGTCCCGGATTAGAGAGGGTGCAGGACGGACTGAAGGACTCGGCTCCCTTCCTCTACCGCCGTGCATGAATTTTGTGCACTGGGCCTCTGGTACAATAATAACACTAAATTTAGATTATGGGATTATCATAATGATAAAAGAATTCTGTCATCTCAGCCAATCTTTGCCTGTAGTTCATCAATAAATTGTTAATACTATTTAACCCAGTGTCTCTGATTTTAATTCTGACAGGACTAGTTTTTTTCTTACTGCTAAAGGTGTAGCATTTTCTTTGAACATCCAGCAGAGGGCATGAAAGCCTATCTGTGAATCTAGCCCATTAGCTAGATTTGATGTAGTGATTAAATGAAACCATGAAGCTGGATTACTATTGATATCCGATTTTTGACAGATCCTATTGTAGAAGAGATTATTCATCAAATTTGCAAGAAGAATATAGGGCTTTAGCTCATATTGCTCCCAAAGAAGCTGAAGCACCAGGAGAGATGCCTGCCATCAGGGAGTCTAGTATATTTGAAATGTACTCCCCTCCTAAGGATGATACTTATGAGTTAGAGGTGCCCGTAAAGGCAGGATAATTTGTATTTAAATGCTCACATGGTATGCAATCTCTATGTCACTGACCCTATAGGTCTAGCCTATTTCTTTCTTATCTGACCACAAGTTCCTATTTAATTTTCAGTTTTATAGTTCTGATTTTTTTTTTCCCTTTGTGTGAGGAGCACAACTGTTATAAAAGACAATTTTAAAATTCAATATCTTGCACAAGAATGAAATAGAGCTGGGATAGTACTGAAAAGCATTCTTATGGACAATGAAATGAAACTCAGACAGAATATTATATGCAAGGCAGAAAAAGAAATACTTCAGGATTGTATAAGAGAAAATGAGACAATGAATATGTGTTGGCTATGAGACACAACTTTCAATAGAGAATATTTTTTAAATCAGAACAGAGCAAATAGAATATACATTCCAAATTCATTTTGCTTCGTGATTTAAACAAAATAAATATATATTATTAATATATAAATATGTACATATATTTAAATATATAAAATAACTACTATTTTTCAGGATCCGGTATTAATTATATATACATATATAATTAATACCGGATCCTGAAAAATAGTAGTTATTTTAATAAATATAATTCTGAGAAAATGGAATTTAAAATGGAATAATTTGCCCTTACCGGTTTGGCTCAGTAAATAGAGCATTGGCCTGTGGATTCAAGGGTCCCAGGTTCGATTCTGGTCAAGGGCATGTACCTTGGTTGCGGCCACAAGCCCAGTGGGGATTGTGCAGGAAGCAGCTGATTGATGTTTCTCTCTCACCCACGTTCCTAACTCTCTATCCTTCATCCTTCCTCTCCCTTCCTTTCTTTAAAATATCAATAAAATATATAAATATTGATATGAAATATCAATAAAAAATAAAATGGAATAATTTGATGATAAACATAATACTATATAATAAAAGACTAATATACAAATTGACTGAACAGAGGAATGACTGGTTGCTATGACATGCACTCACTACCAGGGGGCAGACACTCAATGCAGGAACTGCCCCCTGGTGGTCAGTGTGCTTTCACAAGAGGAACACCACTCAGTCAGAAGCTGGGCTACTGGCTCATGGCTGGTGAACGCAGTACCATGGCAGCACTAAGGATGTCTGAGGGCTCCTGGATTTCAAGAAGGCGCAGGTCAGGCTGAGGAACCCCCTGAGTGCACAAATGTTGTGCACTAGGCCTCTAGTTTATTTCTATTTGTGTATTTAGAAATAATTGTTTTTTATGCTAAAATTTATGCCAGTCTACACTGACTCATGAGGCAAATAATATATATCAATCAAGATGTCCAATTTTTTATATGAATAAGTTGAAAGAAGGTATTGCTCAGAAGCACTGAAATCATCAATGTCTATAGGTTGAAATTATCAATGAATACAAATTTCTTAAGTTTATCATCTTATTTACTGAATGGGAGTTTTCTCCTTGGAAAATCAGCTTAAGGGATGCAATAAGTAAATTAAGACAATTTCCTTTTCCCTAGCACTTAATTTAATTGTCTCTCAATATTTAATAAATAGTCAAGGTGTTTTTCCCCCCACCGCATATGAAAACTGATGTGTCAATCCAAATCATCCTTCCTTGGGTGTCTAAACCTGGATAAACTCATAATTGTAAAACGTCTTAGGTACTACCGACTAATTTCCTTCCAGAGTTAGAAGCATGAGAGCTATTATTTTTATTAAAGAATACTGAGAGACACAGATAAGGAAGCCTAGGGATTACTTCTATGCAAGCAGTGGACAAGTGCATCTTACTTGATATCGTATGAAATACTTGTCACCTGTGATAAAGTCAACAAAATAGGTCAATGCTATATGAAGAGAGTAGAACTAATGAATGGAATATCAATATCTTAGGTATAGCAAAACATTTCCGAGGTGCTAAGGTCTTCTTCAGATGTAAAGATTTTTTTAAAATTTTTTATTCTTTTAAAGAGAGTATGTGGTTGAAAGTGATGCTTTGATAAGCTGCTAAAAATAAGAGCCACCTATGGGACACACTCAATAACAATAGATAGTCATGTTGATCAATGGTTAGAACATTGACATGCGCACCCAAGGATCAAGGGTTCAATTCCCCTGTCAAGGACATAATGACCCTAGGTTGTGGTCATTCCCCCTCTCCCCCTCCCAACCCCCCTGAATCAGGGAAAGTGTGGGAGGCAACCAATTGATGTGTCTTTCTCACTTCTCTCTCTCTCTCTCCGTCCCTCTTTGAAAAAAATATCCTCTAGTGAGGATTAACCAACATAAACAAACAAACAAACAAACAAACAAATAAGAAGAAAAGAAAAAAGGTGAGTCTGTGTAATTGAAGGTCTTTGGTTTTACTGTTTGAGGTATGTGTATGGGAGCAGAAGTTAACTGCTTAATGCTTTAGAGGAGAGTTGTTTACCTTATAAATATATTTTTTTACTATAATTGTATTAGCATACAGAAAGTATTTCATTGAGAAGGCACCAGGAACTGGCACCCACTCAGAACAGCCATTATTGGAACATTAACTCCATGAG